TTCATTTGATTTTACCACCGGTTAAGCACTGACCAAACAGGTGGAGGTTCATCAGTTCGATGGTCGGTTAAGGATAGGCTTCGGGAGAGGCTAAGTATGATTAGGGGTGGACAGTTTAGCTTAGAACTGTTTGATTGAAACTGTACCAGACGGTAATCTTCACTGAGGTGAAGCACATGTGTTAGGGCGTTTGTGTTTTATGGTGCTGCACACAGTAATTTGATTTATATATGTTGTGGTCAATGGTGTGTTGGAGAACATTCTGGACGACCTGTGTAGGCTTTCGAAAGAACATTGAGAATTTGCAACCCAGGCTTTATAGCTCTGCGAGCCTCGCAGTACGATCACCGGTTGCAGATGGAAGGTGAAGCTCTGGGAGCTAAATGGGAGACTCACCATTAGACCAAGGGTTGTACGGCTCCGTGGTGGCTCGCCAACTAAAGATCAGGTACTTCCTGGCCTTTAATGTTCTGGCTAAGGATAATTTCAAGGTCACTGTGTTCGACCTTTATGGCACGGTCGCACGGAGTTCATGGCAAAGTGCAGCTAGCACGAACAAGCGCTTATCATGATACAAGAGTAGTTATATATCCATATTTGTTAGGTTCCCGTGCTAAGCTATTATGCCTACAACTATATGCTTATGCGTATGGTTGTGCCATTATTATGACTATACGTACATGTTGATGTAGTTATGGGTATGTTTGCTAATGTGATTATGCATATGCTTGTTACTGTAGTTGTATTTGTGATTATTCATAATCATATAGGGAACCAAGCACCCTTTGTGGATCATTCATAAAATATGTTGTTCATATATAGCTTAGCTTCTTGGCTGCTGTTAGCCCTTCGTTGCTAGATCAACCATACGACTTGAGGTTGGATATCATCATAAATTGGCTTAACCATAGATATCTTAAAATCCTATGTTATTTTGTCCTTCTCTGTACAAAACCTCATCTACAGATATGAAATATCATTTTACGAACAAGCGCTCATCATGCGTCAAGAAATCAATAATTAACAATAACCTTGGTTGTGATGAATAGGTCCTCCCTCTTGATAAGCCCAATTTCAAATGCCTCCGCAAGTGCATCCCCAACTTCAGCCTCGTTTTGATATTTAGCTGCAGCATCAGGCAACAATCCCTGTTAGTACATCTGTTGGGATACATGCCATGGGTTTCACCCAAAGATCGATCACATAATAAAATCAATATGCTTTTAGCCAAGGGGATTATATAACATAAAACTATCAGTATTGTTGGCCAGGGTTTCAAAAACCTACCTGTGTTTTTGAAAATTTGTTGATAACTATCGAAGAATTGTTTTTCTCATTTAAAAAACCTATCATGTTTCATAGGTTACTGGTTGAACTGAATTTAACCTCGATTATGACAGGTCTGGCCCACGGTCAGGACGGCATAAAAACAAACTCTATTAGACTAAACCATTATGGCAGCCGAGCCCAAATAGATAGGGCAAAGAAAACATGGCACAACAATTCTACCCAAATCCGTGCCCGCGCCTCACTGGCCGCTGCTACCACAGCTTCACACCCGCGCAGTGTCGTGCTCGGCCGCGCTCGCCGGTGCCAGCCAGCCGGTGAGCTACCCGAGCTCAGCACCGCGCCGGTTCTCCTCCCTCTCCTCTCTTTCCGTCACACAACCGCCCGACGCAAGTCTCGCACGTGTGAGCTGATCAGCAGGATCAATTCGGAACAGGGAAGAGGCCAAGCTAACCGGCAACGAGATCGGGCAAGGTTTGGAAGAAAAGCAACGAAGGGCAATTTCTCCGTTGAATTGATAAGTTGAGTGTGTGTCATACGTAGTACTCCCTCCGTAAACTAATATAAGAGCGTTTAGATCACTAAAATAATGATCTAAACACTCTTATATTAGTTTACAGAGGGAGTAGCTAGTTGACTACTGGGCCACCTGACCAGCTGGTTGTAGCCGAAGCGAAAACGTGTTGTTTGATCTCGTCTGATCCAACAATGCAGACACAACTGGCTGAGGACGAAGCCGGTCGACTGGTCGAGATGGCTTATATATACCAATAAAAAAATTACGTCGTGAAGCAGTCCGTTGTGGAGGAGAAGAGCGTGAAAATGAACAAAACATGCCCTCCGAACCTTCAACACGAATGGCCCGAGTCTGAAAAATATTTCATAAAATAACCTTTTTGCATGACGCTCGGGGCTAGGACGCCATGCTAGAGAGCAGGACGCCCCGGCTGGCATGGCACCCTAGACCGGGGCGTCATGCAAAAGAGGATCATTTTATGAAATATTTTTAGGTTGGGACCATTTCGTGTTGAAGTTTCGAAAAAGGGCCAGTTTTGTCCATTTTCACGAGAAGAGATGAGCAGCTAGGTGAGAGACAAATATTATTTGTGTCAGTGCCATACTGCATATTGATGGCTATATTGCGAATCTGACTTGGCCTACATATAATGCATAGAATGATGAGAGGGGTCTCTCTCTCTCCTGCGGGGGCAACGTACGTGCGTGGGAGCCTGTTGTTCATTGATAGCCATGTTATGTGCTGTGTACGATCGCAGCAGCGGTACAGGTTGCAATTTGCAAGCATTCGGAGGCGTGCGTGTATTTGTTAGCGACATAGTACTCCTTCAATTTTATAATGTAATGTGTCCGTACTTTTTGAGATTTAACTTTGACCATAAATTTAACCAACATGAACAACTGCGGTAACCAACATGGGCGACTGCGGCAGGAGCAAAAATTATATTACGCAGTCACCCACGTTCGACTGCGGCGGAAGCAAAAATTATATTACGCAGTCGTCCACGTTGGTTAATTTATGGTCAAATTTAAATTTCGAAAAGTGTAGACGCACTACTACAGAGGGAGTAGTAATTGCTGCTCCTTGTCGAGGTCTCGACAGTGCACCCTCTTGAAGAATGCCAGTCTGCATCGGGCTCCTTCGGTACTGCAAGCTCTGACCGGTTGTCATGTAATCCAGGAGGAGGAGGAGCTGTACGGCGAGGAAGAGCATCAACCGTGGTGGACTGCTGGTCGATAACTTACGTTGGAAGAAATTGCTCGTGTCACAGTTAGCAGACTCGGCATGGCCGTCACCACAGTGCGCCCATGCTCGCCACACGCGCATGATTCTGCACGCTGCCCGGCCGCTCTGCGGCCTCCGCCTGGTGCCTCGAATTCGTGGGCGCCGCCATTGTCACGCTGTCCGGGGCCGCTCTGCAGACCCTTGTACTCTGTCTGTGTTCACCCAAACACAACGGGGCATACCCTGGAACTCGCACGAGCGTTAGTCTCAGCCTCCAAGCCGATCGTTGCAAGCGGCCCCAAGCCGCCGTAAGATGGGCACACGTCAGTGACAGAAACGAGTGATCCCGCCGGTCGGGGTCGTGCATACAAACAGGTCTATGGTCGTTTTAGGGTTGAAAATGACCGGGATTAGCCGGTATAGTGTACCAATTTCAGCGATTGTAAAGTTGAGGTTAGATTTAGACGGGCTCTATGAGTTCAATATTTAAAATAGAGTTTACTCAACTACGATCTTGAAACCACGTGAGACGTGACACATATGGCCAATGGAAAAATATGAACTCTTGTAGGCGTAAAAATCTGTATTTTCTTCAATCCATGCTGCTACAGAAAAAAAAATATTTTCAGAATCGGAACGACTAAAAATCAGTCGACTGATTTCTATTGAAGTCTCAGTCGATGCCTTGATTTTTCTTTTATGCTAGCTGCTTGTCACGTTTAAATGAGCCTGTTAGGATGACACGGCCGGCCTGTTTCTTTTTGTTTTTGTCTGTTGGGCTACGATTGAAAATAGACCGTGTAAAGTGCACAGAGCAAAGCGTTGTGTTTTTTTTACTAGATCAGCATGTGTGTCCAATGTTTCCCTATATCTTCTAGCATGTCATAATCAATGCACACTTCTATTTTCTTCCATGCATTTTTTTTATTTTTCTCCACGCTGTGGGTCAAACTTTGCTCGTATAAGATTTTGTAATGTGATAAACCGTTTAATCTATGCGCCAATTCGTGCAAATTTGTGTTGCATTTCCTTTTTCCGGTCGCAACATTCTGTATTATTTTTTCAAAATGGCTTGTGCCAATTCATTTTGGATTTCTAGGATAGTTTTCCTTTTGATTTTTTTGTTTGTTCTTTTAAAATTATCAATTATTTCCATTCTTCTCTTTTTTCTTGTTCTTTTTTCTCTCATAATTCCTTCTTTGAAGTATGTTTGTGTGTTTTTTCATTTTTATTTTTTTGAATTTTATTAATTATTAATTGTTCACGTTTATTTTTGTCATCAACACATATTGTATTCGTGTGTAACTATGTTTTTATTTATTCTTTATTTTTAGCCTCGAAGGAAAAATTGATTGTATGTAGCATGTTCGTTTATCCTTGCACAACTACACACGTCTCACTCCACATGCAATTGGTGAAGGACTGACCTTTGCGTATATGATTTTTTTTCTTTTTTTGTCGGGAGAGGGGATAGTTGCATGTCTGCCACTAGGCACGCAACTCCAAGTGCGATCCCAAACTACAACTACATGTCTTTGACGCGATTGCAACTCAGTGGTGTGTTTGTCAGGGGAGGGGGTAGTTGCATGTCTACCAATAGGCATGCAAGTGTAGTGTCGTCCCCGACTGACATTGCAACTCAGTAGTGTTTTATAGGGAAGGGGGAAGTTGCATGTTTTTCACTAGTCACGCAATCGCAAGTGCCACACCTGCTGGCAATTCTATGGTGTTTTGTGGAGGGAGGCGGTTGCATGTTTGCCACTAGGCACGCAACTGCATGCCCACACCCGACTGCAACCGGCCTTTGTTTTGTGAATCAGCCGGGGGAAAGGGGGTCATTGCATGTCCAACATTAGGCCTTGCAACTGCAAGTGTCGCCCCTGTTTGCAGTTGCATGTCTTCCTCCCAAATGCAACTAGCCTTGTGTTTTGTCGGAGGGCGGCGAGAGAAGGAGGGGGCATTTGCATGTCCAACACTAGGCTTGCAACTGCAAGTATCGCCCTCGACTGCAATTGCATGTCCACACACCCAACCGCAACCGACCTTTTGTTTTGTAGGCGGGCCTCAAAAGAGGGGGTGGGTAGTTGCATGTCCGACACTTGCAAGTATCACCCTCGACTACAACTGCATGTCTACACACCCAACCGCAAGCGACCTTTTGTTCTGTAGGTGGGTGTCAAAAGAGGGGGTAGGTAGTTGCATGTCCGACACTAGGCTTGCAAATGCAAGTGTTGCCCTCGACTACAATTGCATGCCGGCACACCCGAATGCAACTAACCTTTTGTTTTATAAGTGAGCGGCAGGAGAGGGGGCGGTTGCGTGTCCGACTCTAGGCTTGCAGCTGCAAGTGTCGCCCTCGACTACAACTGCATGTCTTCCAAAATGATTACAACTGGATATTATTTTGTTGGACGGGGTGGGGGGCATGCGAGGGGCTAGCACTAGGCCTGCAACTGCAAGTGTCGCCCCCGACTGCAACTGCATGCCCACACACCCCTGCTGCAACTGACATTTGTTTTTGTAAGACGACGGTTGGAGAGGAGGAGTTGCATGTCCGATACTAGACATGCAACTGCAAGTGTCGCCCCGACTGTAACTGCATGTCCCCCCTCAGACTGCAATTGGCCTTGTCTTTTTGTCAAAGGGCGGCGGGAGAGGCGGGGGCAATTGCATGTCCGACAATAGGCTTCCAACTGAAAGTGTCGTCCTCGACTTCAACTGCATGTTCACACATCCAACCGCAACCAATCTTTTTTTTCTCGCTAGGCGGTGGGCGAGGGGGAGGAGGAAATTGCATGTTTGACACTAGGCTTGCAACTGCAAGTGTCGCCCTTGACTACAACTGTATGTCTACACACCCGACTGCAACTGACCTATTCATTTTGTAAGTGAGCGGCGAGATAGGGGGGATAATTGCATGTCCAACACTAGGCATGCAACTGCAAATGTCACCCTCGAATGCAGCTACATGTCTCCAACATGGTTGCAACTGCAAGTGTCGCCCCCGACTTCAATTGCATGCCTTCGATGATGCAGACGTATGTTTTTTATGCAGGAGTGGATGCGTGTACATGATGCATACGATTCGTGGTACCTTTTTTAGATGTGTGAAAAAACAAATTTATTGCCCAGCTGATAAATATAATAGTAAAATGTAAGTAAAAATGAAAAATAAAAACCAAAAAAATTGATAGCAACCGTTAAGAAATTTGTGCGTACAACAATTTTCCTTTTTGAGGGGTACCTACAGCAGCTTTTTTTTGAGGCACCTACAACAACTTTTTTTGTTTTTGAGAAATGGCACCCACAGCAGCTAATATCCCGACTGTTTTTTTTTAGTTGATAATATCTCGACTGTTGCACCACCGAGATGAGCAGCAGCTGCTGGCCCAACGCTGCTCCAGTACGTACGAAGACATTGCCAGCCCAAAAAGCAACAAGGAGGAGGACATGGGCTCGCTTGACAACCAACAAGCAACAAAGGGATGACGTGTTCTAGAAAAAAAAACTGATGATGTCAGCCAATTTAGACTTCGCGAAGTCTAAGTCGACTGAGACCTAGACAGACCCTTTCAGAATATCACAAGTCTGGGGGTGACCCCTACAGCCATACATAGCTCCGCCAGTGCGCTCAGGATATCGAGCTACCTGGTGCTCAAGCACTAAAGTGCATTTTCGCACAAACCGAACAAATACAACCCAAACCCATGCAGGAGAGGATTTTCTATCATGCGCGGACATTCCATGCATGCATTCACTTGTTGTGGTGGTTCTGCTGACATCATCTGTAGTATTTTATCTCTCATCAAATTGCACACTCCACACTCACACGCTATTCCCTACTCATTGAATTTCCTTCCAATAAATACTTGTACATGCCAAATATTTTTTTTCAAATAAAAGTTTGATTCACATTCTATTTGTGAAATCCTGTTTTTTTTCTAACAAGATCGTTAAAACAAGGCCAATGTAGAATATATATTTATAAATTAATTTTTTGACAACTAAATCACCACTCTTCAAACTTATTTCATCCAAATTCAGTAATTTCATGAAAAAAATCAATAATGTTTCACCTTGTTTCATCAAAAAAAATCATATTGTTGCGATTTGAACCGAAAAACAATTCTTATTGTTTCACTACAACTCACCTTGAATCATATTGTTTCACTACAACTCACCGGTTTCATCGTGCTTCTTTCTCTACAACTCGCAGGGCAAGCATGTTTAAAAAATCGTATTGTTCCACCGCGTTTCATCATGTTTCATAATTTAAATTTAATACTTGTTCAAATATATTAAAAAATGATCTCAGCTGAAAGTCCTCGTCATCATAAACACAAATATGTAAACGGTTCATAAATTAAACTTTTGGTTGAAAAGATTATTAAACCTAAGAATAAGATTGAATAGTATAGGATGGTGAACAGCGCGTTTGTATGTTGTGACAAAAAACTGACTATGAATAGTACTCATGCATAGCTCCAAATCTCAGAACTACACAGCTAGTGTTTTCCAGTTTGGATTATTCCAACATCACCTCAGGCTCAGGGCGAAATGTCCATAAAGATGACACTGTCAATCAAGAGCTAGTACTCCTGAATAAAAGTAATAGAAAGTGTACATAAATTCTTTGATACTTGCAAATCTACTGCATGAAACCGCGTAAACTATAGACGTCACGAACCCGCCATTTGCTTTTACCACTTGAAAGTCCACAGCAACATACACATGCAGCCCAGATGAGCAGGACTCAACGGTGCAAGACGGCTCATGGAGATTCAGTGCAATGTCATTCGACCCAGGTGGGTGCAGACTTACGTGAAGAGGGTGGAGAGGGGAGAGCGGGAGGGCGTACGCGTACCGGCGCAGTCGAAGTGGCGGTAGCCGGCGCGGATGGCGGAGTGGATGAGGCCGCGGATGGCGGGGGCGTCCATCCGCCAGACGCCTAGCCCCACGGCCGGCATCTCGTGCCCGTTGCTCAGCTTCAGCACCTTCGCCGCCGTCCCTTGCTCCCTCGCCGGCATATCCTCGGAGTCGGAGGTATGAAGTCGACGAACGGCAGTGCACTCTAGTCGGCACCCTCCTGAAGAATGCGAGTGTGCATCGGGCTGCTGCTCCTCCTGAATTATAGTATGACCAGTGTTTCCCACGACAAACCATGCGGGGCCGGTCAGAGCCCACGCGACGTTGCCGTCGACGCAGCAGGTAAATTCGTGTGGTACCAGATAGCATCTGACCTGGGCACTGTATAACGTAAATATATTGTTTACCGGCTGTACTGTTCTTCGTGTTTGTGTCACTCGGAAAGAAACAAATGCCCAGTCCCAGCATGGGAAATTCACATGGGCATGGAGCGGCGGAGGCACACAACGTGCGCATATTGATTTGTTATATTTTTAACACATTTGACGCTTAAAGCAACTCCAACAGGGTGACCCAAACGGACGCATCCTTTGTCCGTTTTTCGTTCATTTTGATCGACCAGGCGGACGTTCGTGTCCGGTTTCTCATTTGGGTCGGCAGGTGCATCCAACGAAAGGCCGACGCATTTCTGCCGACGTGGCAGAAACTGAGGCATTTGAATATAATTATACATAAATGGCCGGTCAAACGACGGCCAAAGTCCACTTAAACATTAATAGAAAATAAAAACACTGAAATAAAACGCCCGTGCGCTGCCCTAGACCACCGCCGGTCCCTTGCCCTTGCCGTCGTCGCCCTCGTCTTCGCCCTGGCCGCCGGTGAGGTCAATGAAGACGGGGGCAGGCCCAGCCCAGCGGAACGCGGCTTGATAGGCCGCTAGGCAGCCTCCTTCGGCATCTGCTGCGACTGCGGCATAGCGGTGAGGCGAGCACGTTCCTCCTCCTCCTCCTCCTTGAGCCGCAGAGCCTCGGCGTCCCGGCGCAGCATCTCCTCATATAGCATCTGCCGCTTGCCGTCGGTCCCCTCCTCGTCGAGCCAGTGCGCCTTCCACTGCTCAAGGTGCGCCGCCTCTTCTTCCGGCGTGGCGGCGTAGTGGCAGGGAGGCGTCCTCACCCACTCGCGGTAGACGTCGGACCACGAGTAGGCCTCCTCCGGCCAAGTGAGGGGCGGCGGTGACCGCTTGCGCGAGGGTGTTCGCTCCGACTCCGGCTCGGCCTTGGGTGGCGGTGGCGGCGCAAAGAGGGCGAGTGGATGGAGTCCCCAACAGCGGACAAGGCGATGGCTTGCTCCAGCTCATCCCAGTGTGTGTCCTCCTCGAGCCGGCTCGCTTCCAGCGCGTGCTGCAAGGCCTCATCGAGTGCGGCTTGGTACTCCGCCTCCACCTCCTCTTCCTCCGGCTCTACCCACGGGGGCGGCGGTAGGAACGACTGGTTGGCGTCGCCGCCACGCCGCCGTTGCTTCTCGTGTTCGAGGACAAACCACGCCTCCCAGTTGGGAGAGTCGGCAGCGTACTCGGGCATCCCCCGTTTGGTCGGCGTGAGCTGCGTCCGGCGCCTGCGCACCTCCTCGTCGTGCGCCCGCTGGGACTGCGAAACCGCCAGCACCGGGATCCGCTGCGGATCCAGGTGCCAGTGGTGCGGCAACGTCACGTCGGGGTAAGACAGCGGCTGCCTGTACTCCCAGACGCCATCGACCCCAGCGGTCATGCGCCAGAGGCGGAGGAGGAGGACCATGGGAGGATGAGGCGCCTGGGGTGCCCTTGCCCTTGACGGAGCAGCTTCCAAAAAGACCCATTGCTAGGGTTTTGGTATGTCGCCGGCGAGGAAGCATGACCGGAGTGGTGGGGGGCCAGATGTGGCCGGGAATGGATGAGGATAGCCCCCCCAGCACGCTTGGGTTAAAAAGGACGCTTCCACTGGCTGACTAGTGGGCCCGCTATCGGTGGTCGTCATTAATTAGACGATGGGCGGTTGTTGGGTGGCCGCCAAGTGGGGTCGCGGTGGACACTGAGGAGGCGTGTGGCGCGTCCGCCCCGACGCATTCCAAACGCAAATTTGGGTCGGAAATGGGTCGGCGCAGATGCGGGGTGGACGTATTTTGAAAATGGGTCGGCGCGTTGGGCCGGTGTTTTTGTCCGCGCGGACCCAAACGGAGATGGACAGACAAAATGGGTTGCCCCATTGGAATTGCTCTTATACATATGCACATATATTCACTACTGTGAACACATGCACGTACAATCAGTCTTTGTGAGCATCTCTGAAAAACTGAGCCGGCCCGCCACAGATACCTTTGTAATCTACGAAAACTTCTCCCACTCAACATGCATTGCTAAAAAGTTTAAAATAAATTCAGAAAAATGCACGCACGAGCGATAAGTCTAAAATTTCAACTTTGATGAGCTGGAGATTCCATATTTTATACGACTAGGGTTCTAACTAAATGTGTGTGTCTATATATATAGATATATAACTTTAATGAGCTAGAGATTCCATATTGTATGCGACTGGGGTTTTAACTAACCGTACATAGACACACACACACACCTAACGCACAACTTGTAGGTGTGATTCCCTCAAACCCTTCTAAACCTACTAAGGGCATCTTCAACTCTGACCTACAAATTTGCTTCCGCATCCTTCTGCAGACAGGGTGATCAGTCCGCTGACATGGATGTGGTAGCCGGTCATCCAACGCTATTCGCATACATTTGAAACATTTTTTCAACACAATGGACTAAATTCATGCAATCAGGATGATACCCATACAAACTAGAGCACGCTCGTTACATTTCGAACAGTTTTCATTAAAAAAAGGGGGTGGGGGTGGACCTAAACCTAAACTACACCTCCAAAGAAAACAGTTGCGTCCTGCCCTTAGCAGACTCACTAAAAATAATCTGCTTCAGAGAGGGTGGAAAGGTGATAAGAAATGCCTTTTTTGTGGGCATGATGAAACTATCAATCATCTTTTTTTCACATGTTCAGTTGCTCGTTTGCTGTGGAACCTGTTGAAGTGTGCTCTTAACCTATCTGATATACCTGATAATGTGGATTCTTTATCTGGAACTTGGGTTAATAAGTTCAACAAAATGGAGAGAGATCTGGTGATGGTGGGGATCTATGCTATATGTTGGACACTTCGGAAATTACGTAACAGTTTCGTTTTTTATAACAGTAAGGTGCATGATCCTTGAGTCACAATTAATTTGTTCTTGAAGTGGCTTCATGATTGGACCATTTTGCACGAGAGTTGCTGAGGAGGTGTTCATGGCTGCTCATGGTTGGCTTCTGGGAGGAGGAAGGATCACAGCTGGGTGACGATCTTCTTCTTTGGCAGACACTGGATGTTCTTTCGTGGGATGCACCTCTGAAGCTACTTTCTCTCTGCTGTCTTCCGTTGTTGTCATGCTAGCAGTCTTCTGTTATGTAATAAAGATAACAAAAGTGTGTTGTAACATGTTTAAAACCTATGTACTGCCGGTTCAAGGCCTAGCTGTCAGCCCAGGTCTTAGAGCATCTCTAGTAGACCCCTTATCATGCGGACCTTTAAAATAAGTATAAGGGCCGTATGAAACATGTTTTCAGGACAGGCGCGTGCTGCGGCCGAACAGACCCCGCAAGACCGAACGGTAAAACATAGTTTTTTCTCAATTTGACACATATGTGTCATATTACATAGAAATATGAAATCAACATAAATTAAATTTAAATATTACAATACAACAATCATCCAAATTACAATAGTTACTCAAATGTAAGAATTAAATTTATAATTCATTACAAGAATTGTTCCAAATACAGCAATGATACAAATCACGGATGAATTAAACTAAATGAATGTAAAAATGGCAGGTTTTATTACTGCCCATGCATTTGCCAATTGTGCTCCATGAGCCCATGTTGAAGCTGGTGGTGGCTGTTTGAGTCTTCAATTTCCCGGTATGTCTGAAGGAATGCTTGTATGCGGTCAGTGTCTCTAGATGGCTTCACACGACTACCGACATTGTAGTAGAAGAACTCCAAGTTCATGTGCCTCTCATCTTCGATGATCATGTTGTGAAGAATCACAGAACATGTCATGCCTCAGCATCATGTTCCCGAGATGGATACGTAGGTGGCACCGCTAAGTAGTCTTGCATCAGCATCATGTTCCCGAGATGGCGGTTGCGAGGGATGCAAAGACGGCCGACGGTCGATCCTCGCCGCCTCTTTCTATTCCTATCCTCGAGCTCCTTCACGGCGAGGACCACCACCACCATCTGCTGCCGATTGTTCTCGAGCAACGTCTCTATGTCCGAGTCATCGGACGAGACGAATCCTCGAGCAAAAATTCCTTGCAAGGGCTTAAATCCATCTACAAATCGCAACGGAGCTCGCATGAACGAAAATCGTTCACTAACTCTAACTTGAAGAGGCAGAAAAGGACTCACTGACGGATCCGGGGCGGGCAGCGACTCGGCGGCGACCCGAGGGCGGCTGGGCGCGGTGGATCTGGGGTGCCCATGAAGCGGCGTGGTGGACCAGTGGGTCTGCAGTGGCCGGCGGTGACATCGGCTGATATGGCCGGAACCGAAGGCCGCGGGCGGACAGTGGGCGGCTGCGGGATGCGGGAGGGGAATGCGCGTGGGCTGAAATGTCCCTCCCGCCAACTACTTTTCCAAGATACAGGGCACAGATGGGGCGGGCGGAAACCTGTATTTTCGCGGGTCGGGGGGCAATTTACCGCGCCCCTCAAAAGAATTTAAGTGTCAAGGGCGTTTAAGGTGTCTGTTCGGGCCACTTTTTCAACGCAAAACTATAAACTGATGATTATTTTATGGTTGGGATGTAAAGAATATGCTAAAGATGCTCTGATATGAGCCGGAGGGAGACTTTCTTGGTCTGTGAAGATGCGTTGTACGGTGCTTCATTTTCCGTAGTCGCACCAGATCCACATAGTACTCTTTTTCCATTCCTGATGGTAATAAATAGTACGCGCTTTTATTGATTAAAGTCTGAATCCTGTAAGAAATTGGTGATGGTGATTTGAATGCCCTTGGGATGCGTAGTCTTTTGCTTTCTGCAGTTTAGGCTTCCTTTATATTTGAACTCTGTAATAA